TGTGGATCAGGTGTTAAACAGGTGTGGATCAGGTGTTAAACAGGTGTGGATCAGGAGTTAAACAGGTGTGGATCAGGTGTTAAACAGGTGTGGATCAGGTGTTAAACAGGTGTGGATCAGACGTTAAACAGGTGTGGATCAGGAGTTAAACAGGTGTGGATCAGGAGTTACAGGTGTGGATCAGGTGTTACAGATGTGGATCAGGAGTTAAACAGGTGTGGATCAGGTGTTAAACAGGTGTGGATCAGGAGTTAAACAGGTGTGGATCAGGTGTTACAGATGTGGATCAGGAGTTAAACAGGTGTGGATCAGGTGTTAAACAGGTGTGGATCAGGTGTTAAACAGGTGTGGGTCAGGAGTTAAACTGGTCAGGATCAGGTCAGGATCAGGTCTCCTGTCTGTTTTGTCGTGGATGTTCACCTGTGCACACCTGTCCTCAGGTGGAGCGTCCATCCAGGAAGAGGCGGGACTCTTTCGGGATGCTGGACGGGCTGGAGGAGGACCGGAGCAGCTGCAGCTCTGACTCCAGCGGGGGCAGCGGAGCCTCCAGCCAGGAGGACAGTGATGATGAAGAGTTTTTAGGGGGGGGAGGGGGCACTCAGCTCACCCCCTCCTCCTCTTCCTCTCTGATGCTCATCAAGACCAACGGACAGGTCTACACGTACCCTGATGGGAAGACGGGCATGGGTCAGTGAGACAAACAGAACCAAACTCTGCAGAACAGTTCTGGACTAATCTGACCAACAGGAAGTAGAAACTCTTTAATATTTAATATTTATTTATTATTTTATGATTTAATGTTTAGATTTAAAGGTTTTACCTCCAGCCTCTGATGTGTCTCTGGTTCTGGACCAGGTTCTGGACCAGGTCTGGAGTTAAAACCTGGTTAGCTCGGGTTTTTTGAGTCCATTTTAAAATGTCTTTTGTTTGAAACCTGAATGATTTGTCAGCAGCAGACTTCATCTCTGGGGGCGGGGTCTCTGACTCACCTGAAGGCCCCGCCCCCTCTTCAAGTCTTTGTCTGGCTCCTCCTCAGCCACCTGTGAGATGTGCGGGATGGTCGGTGTCAGAGATGCTTTCTACAGTAAAACCAAGCGCTTCTGCAGCGTCTCCTGCTCCAGAAGTTACTCGTCCAACTCTAAGAAGGCCAGCATCCTGGCCAGACTGCAGGTAAGACGCTCACCTGTTGCTTCCAGCAGACTCATGAAGATGTGTTAAAAACCTTAGCAGAGCTGGGATAGACACTACAGACTTCAGGGTCTTTATTGGGCTTTTGTTGGACTTCAAATGTTTTATTTCTTCCTAAATGAAAGTTTATTTTCTTGCATTTTGTCTAAAACAGAAGAGCTCCGACAGAAGATGGAAACAACAGATAATTCAGGATCAGGTCTGCCTCTGATTACGTTCAAAATGAAAACAGATTTCAGGACTGTGTTGRTGAAAGACCCAGTCCGGTTTGACGAGAACCGGATCCTTTCAGTCCCTGGATAAAGCAGAAGTTCAAAGGTCATCAGTGGAGTGGAGCTGTGAAGTTAATTTTACAACAAAAGGGTTTGATCTTTTCCAGAATAATGGGACCAAATATTTATTATCCTGGATGATTTAAAACCTTTTATTGTCATGTTAGTTGTTAGTTTGTTCCTTCTGCTTCAGTCGGATCAGAACAAACCCTCCAGTTCATGTTTTTAATATTAGACCCTTCCTGTTCGGTCTGAACCAGCAGCTCTGCCTCCTGTCTCTGTCCTGCAGGGGAAACCTCCAACCAAGAAAGCTAAAGTTCTGCAGAAGCAGCCGCTGATGACCAAACTGTCAGCTTACAACCAGCAGCAGCCCCACCAGCCGAGCGGGGTCCGAAAGAGCCGTGAGTTCAGTCAAAGAGCTGCAGAACCCGTCTGAATCGGACCGCATCATGGTTCTGGTCCAGAATATCAGGGACCAGAAAGACCAGCACTCTGAAACTTAATTAGAACAGCTAAACTCCTGGTTTAAACCTAGTTTAACTCCTGGTTCAATCTCAGTTTAACTCCTGGATTAATCTCAGTTTAACTCCTGGTTCAATCTCAGTTTAACTTCTGGGTCTAACCCAGTTGAATTTATGGTTTAAACCCAGTTTAACTCATGGTTCAGATCCAGTTTAACTCCTGGTTCAATCTCAGTTTAACTTCTGGGTCTAACCCAGTTTAATTTATGGTTTAAACCCAGTTTAACTCCTGGTTCAATCTCATTTTAACTTCTGGGTCTAACCCAGTTGAATTTATGGTTTAAACCCAGTTTAACTCATGGTTCAGATCCAGTTTAACTCATGGTTTAATCTCAGTTGAACTCCTGGTTTAGACCCAGTTTAACTTTGGGTTTAAACCCAGTTTAACTCCTGATTTAATCCCACTTTAAGTCTTGGTTTAATCTCAGTATAACTCCTGGTTTAATCTCAGTTTAACTCCTGGTTTAATCTCAGTTTAACTCCTGGTTTAATCTCAGTTTAACTCCTGGTTTAATCCCAGTTTAACTCTTGGTTTAGACTCAGTTTAACTCTTGGTTTAATCTCAGTTTAACTCCTGGTTTAATCTCAGTTTAACTCCTGGTTTATCTCAGTTTAACTCCTGGTTTAATCTCAGTTTAACTCTTGGTTTAATCTCAGTTTAACTCCTGGTTTAATCTCAGTTTAACTCCTGGTTTATCTCAGTTTAACTCCTGGTTTATCTCAGTTTAACTCCTGGTTTAATCTCAGTTTAACTCTTGGTTTAATCTCAGTTTAACTCTTTGTTTAATCTCAGTTTAACTCTTTGTTTAACCTCAGTTTAACTCCTGGTTTAATCTCAGTTTAACTCCTGGTTTAATATCAGTTTAACTCTTGGTTTAATCTCAGTATAACTCTTGGTTTAATCTCAGTATAATATGGTTTAATCTCAGTTTAACTACTGGTTTAATCTCAGTTTAACTCCTGGTTTAATCTCAGTTTAACTCCTGGTTTAATCTCAGTTTAACTCCTGGTTTAATCTCAGTTTAACTCCTGGTT